AAAAATTGGGAAGATTTTGAATACTTGATTATATAATAAAACCATAAATTTAATATGTTTTTGTTCATATATTGTTTAGGAGATCGTTGCTAAATAATAAGCAAATTAAGTTATCTTAAATTAACTATTAAACTTTTTAAACTTTTGCAATGTTAAACACAATGTATGTAAAACTTTGTCATATATCAGATAAATAATACACACATTAAATTTAAAGTTTTAAAAAAATCACATCATAAGATCTTATTATTAACTACATCAATTAGAAATATATTAATGGAACTATATTAAAAAAAAATTTTAAAAAAAAAACAAAATATAAATTAAGACATTATTTCAGATTTTGCTATATTTATGAATGTTATATATAATATACATGTATGAACTTGTTATTGGATAATGGATACCTCATCCGTGGAAAGCTACACACAGACTTTAGGAATCAAGAAAATTTCTTACCTACTACTTAGGTTTTTTTTGTTAATTGTTAAATGATTTTCTAACGTATCTAACAGTTTTTTTAATTTATTTTAATCTATATGAATATTCATCAAAGGATTCAAAAATAAAAAATGTCTTAAAAAATATAAGAATAAAGATTAATAACATATTTAATGAATACGAGATAGCTACGTCTTCCGATAGGTAATTTTATCTAATTTTGTATCTAACATAAATCGTTCACAATATTTGAATAACTAAAAATTATTTAAAAATTAATAAACCCTATATTATTCTAAAAAACCAAAAGTTCAGTTAATATCCACAGTAACATTAGGATTGTAAATTACGTTGACATTTCATCATATTACTTATAGAAACATTTTGGCTGGAATACCAAACCCAATAAAATTATCTCATAAAATTTAATTTCCAATCTAAAAGCATATAATTAATTGAAGTAATTAAATATGCTTAAAAATTGATAAACCAACTTGTCAACTATAAAAAGAAGTTCTGTACGAACGTGTATCATTCTAAAGGATATAAAGAATACCAGTTACCCCAGAGCATTTATTGAAAATCGATTATCTTAATATGGTGAATGGAGAAACCCCTGCTTATACAATTAAATTATAACGGATAAAAATAAATATCAAAGAAATATAATTAGGATTTATAAATAATTTTTAAAACAACCCATATTTAACAAATACCTTTTTTATAGTAAGCTATAGGGAAGGTACGAGGGCGGTTTGATAAGTCAATGACTTTTTGAATAAAACAAATTTTTTTCGGCAAATAAACACTTTATTTTTCTATATTGTCAACTTTTAGCTCAATACATTTAGTCCAGCGTTTTTCTAATTTTCTTATTCCCTCCAAATAATAAGTTTTCTCAAAGCTCTCAAAATACGCGTTTGTTTCGGTAATGACTTCTTCTCATTCGAAATCTCTTACCGCCCAGCCATTTCTTTAGGTTTGGAAACAGAAAATAGTCGCAGGGGGCTAAATCTGGAGAATATGCTGGATGGGGTAGCAGTTCGTATCCCAATTCGTGGATTTTGACCATCACACGAAATTCACTTTTTTCTAATATCGTAAAAATTCACGAGGTTGTCTGCTTTGAACGGCCATCAAACACCAACTGAACGACGTAGCTTGCTCAAAATTAAAAAGTTGCCCACTGGTAGATTACAGCTGACATCTGCACTATTGCATTTGCAGTAATTGCGCGGGAAATTCAAAAAGTCAGTGACTTATCAAACTGCCTTCGTATAATAAGATACATCTTGATCAAACAATCCATAACGAATACAACATCTTTAAAATCATATTGTTACGAGTTAAAATATGAATATTAACTAAAATTAATTACAATTAATTAGCCAAAATTAAATTTTAAAACTTAATATTGAGAATGAATATAGTTTTTAATTAACCCAGTTAAGCCAATGTGTAAAACTTCTCAAATTTAAATAATTTTTTAAATATGCAAAAAAAAAAAAAATAATAAAACCCTATTATACGTATTTATAATTAATGGGAAAGTCTACAAAATGCTGCCTAAAAATAATATTATATATAGGTATCTATTATATATATGTATAGAAATTTTATGTAAATTATATATACATAAATCTGCTTATAGCTTTACTAAAAATAGTATTTTAAGTCATATTTATAATTTATATTAAAACTCCTAACTTTCTTCGCATTTATGATGCCCTCAATTTAGTAGCAGATTATAATTAAATTTCAACTTAAACTATTTGGTTGAATTATTAAAAATATTTTTATAGAATCTATTTAAATAGAAATTTTTTCTTAACACTGTTGTCCTTACTCGCGAAGGATTTTTCAGTAACTCTCACAAACTGTCCGTAGCACCACTGACACCGATGGCAATACCCTCATCGCTGTCTTCATTATTTCCAGCGACACCGTCACCATCACCATCACGGTCACGGTCACCGACACTGACGTTAACACTACCGCTGGCGCTAACATCATCAACACTGCCCGCTGGAAAATGCATTAAATTAGTATCGATGACACCGTTAAATCCCAAACTAGGTGGAGGAGTAGAAGTGGCCGAAACTCGACTGTGTGTGCTTATGCTGCTCGTGCTTAGTTGGTCATCAAATATATCAATATTAACAATGGTCGAATGTTCATCTATTAAAACGTCATCTTTAGATTTTTCCGTTGTCTTAATCGTGCTGTTATTTAATTTATTGTTAAGGACCACTGCAGATGTGGTATTCTTTAGGCTTTCCTCTAATGATTGTTGTTTAAATGGCTTAGTAATTTTTGCATTCGTATTGTTGCTCTTACTTTTATAATCGACGATGTCAACACTTTTGCTGCTATTAAAATTAAATCCTGAAAGGACAAAAAAAATATATATGATAATAACGTTTAGATATATTAATATTATTATAATATATGCTATGTATATATGATATAACAAAAAGTTGAACGACGTTGAAGTCCTTCATTTGAGTACATAACAAAATATCATACAGAATGCTTTAAAATTAATAAATATATATTTATATATCTTAGAATAAATCTACCTCTCAATATCTACCTTCATAACAGGAATATAATGTTTCCTTCCCTTTCTATACAAACCTTTATCAGATACGTGTGACTACTCACAGGAGTATTAAATTTTTCAATTTTTTTTATAATACTAATTTATAGACAGGAAATGGGACTTGCTCCCAGAGCTCCACACAATGTACTCGTAAATAATACCAGTTTACTTTTCAATTGCTGGATAAGTTCTATCTTATATTTTAAATTTAAAAATTCTTTTTTTATTTTTTACTAGTTTTTATTGAAATTTTTATTTATTTTTTTTTAGGTTTTGCATTTTTTTTTAAATTTTTTGTATTTAATATCAATATTTTTGTTTTAATTTCTTTCATATTTAGTAATTTTTTTTCTAGTTTTTTTTTTTGTAATGTTTTATATACATAATTCTTATTACTTAAAACATTAGAGACCATTTTTTTTTGTATATTTTAACTAGTTTTTAATTTTTTATACATTTTTAATTTTTCTCATATTTTTTTTGGTTGCAATTATAGATTAGATTAATAAATACTGCATAATTTTAAAATTTTTGTTGCATTTGAAAAACTTTCAATAACGAAAATAATGAGAATAAAAATATTATATATCTGTAACTAACTACATTTAAATAATAAATAAATTAATTTGTAAATATTTTTATATATAAATAATTGAAATGTGAGTGAGAGAAAGTAATACATTTAATTTAATATAAAAAACAAATTAAATTAGTTTAATTAAAAGTTGTTTGAAAATTCAAATTAAAAGTAATATTAATAATAATTATATAGTTATAAACATTGCAATAATTTCTTTATGTAAATAACAATCATTAAATAAAACATTTCTTAATTAAAAATAAAAAATTTTAAGCTCATAACTTTTAATATAAAAAAACAGTAAATGTTTTTATTGAAAAGCTTTTTGGTTGTTGTTTTAATTTAAATTATATCAAAATTTATTTAAATAAATAAAAAAAGCAAAAAAGAAAATTTTTTTTCAAGTAAAGGCTGAGGTCTTTGCTATTGATGAAAAATGGAAAGGCTGATCAAGTACCAACTTCTTGAGTTTTATAAACAATGTTATGAGAAAATAATATAAAATATTTTATATTAAATTATAACTAAATACAAAATAATAATAAGTATAATAATATAGAAAACATAATCTCATAATTAGTGTCTGTTCATGTACTTTCTTATCACTTTTTTTTTAATTTTTAAATTTCTTACATAAATATATATAGTGTATATATGTATATATGAATTGTCTTTAATTATTTGCATATAAAGACAATGCAAAATTTTTTGATAAATATTTTTATTATTAAAATCTATTTTATGCAACAACAACAACCAACTGCTAAATTTTTAAATATATATATAAATAATAATTAAATAAAATCTGCAATTAATTTAAATTTACAGTAGTGCTTAGATTTATATTATTTTGTATATAAATAAAGCTTAAAATTAAGTTAAATGTAAATGTATACATAAATATAAGCTTTTGTCATTTTTTACAGTTCTTTTTTTAATAATTATTTTTTTTTATCAATATATGTAAGCTATTACAATATAATAAATATTAGATTTATTGCAAGTGTATTAATGTAATTTTACATTTATATATAAATAAATGTCTATATGGAATATGCCAAAGAAGATGCCCGGTAGAACTGTGACTAGACAGATAAGAGAGATGAGACAGGCAGGCTATTACAACGGTGAGAAAGGATTTTTATTGGGCGAATATAGATATTTTATTTGAATAAAAATTATTTGCAATATTATAAAAATATTACAGCGTTCTCATACTGTATAAAAACACTATCACTTATTTTAAAAAGTTGAAGCAAAAAAAAACGTAATTATCTTCTGATCATATTTCTTTACATTATAACTTTTTATATAGCTTATTGAATTTAAATTCGTAGAACAGCAAGACTGCGCATTCTTATACTAGATATTTTTATTTATAGATATTTTTATTTATAAATAGATTTTAGTCAATGTTGATCGCAAGTATAATAAATGTTAGAAATATTATTGTAGGATCTCAGATGACCCCAAATGTACACTATTTTTTAGATTCTTCCAATTAATATAAATCTTTTGTAGTGCGTAGATATGATCAAATAGTTAATACGATCAAGACCCTTTCAACTAATGCAACTAATATGTATTAGTTTGAAATCGGATGATAAAATAAACGCTTTTATCAGCAAAGGTTACTGAAATTCGAAAAAAATGGAGTATGAGTTTTGAATTTGTAGAGAAAAAAAAATAATAGTACTTTATGTTGAACAGATATAGTCACAATTCTACTTGAATTATATAATCCGTGTTAGTGAACACGGCTTTGTTAAGTGAAATATTCCAAACGATCTTAATTACAATACATGATTGTTAATTTAATTTTATATAACATTTATGCCATTCTCTTGATAATTTATAAAAATTATTTTTTTTAAAAAAATTTGTTCTCACAAATTTATCTTTTCCAATGGATTTGTTTGAATTTGTATTTTTTTAACTATAATATATGTGACAATGAGCAATATATGAGCTACGATATAAAGAGAAGAACTTCATTCTATATATATAAATATCTCGAGTGCTCACACTATTGATTGACTGTCACACATAAGTTTGTTTTTGGCCAAAACGTATAATTTAGTTCCAATAATAAACTTGTAATCTACTAATTCTGGAAAAAATGGTAAGGGATCTAGGTGGAAACGGAGAGAAAAATCCAATGAAGGACTAATAAGAGAAAGATTTTTGTAACATGAAGCACTTAATTAAAAATAAATATAAGTGATAATATTTAAAAAAAAATTAAATATTAATAAGAAGAAATCAAATAATAAAATAAATTCGATAGAAAACTTATCGATAAAAGAGAAACGAAACTGGCAAATCTGACAGTTTAACATAAATAAGTTACAGAATTTAATAATGGAAAAAAAAAATAGTAAATTATTGAAAATATAAAACAGAAAACAAACGTTAATCTTAGCTTAAAATGTTTGTTTTACTCTTCTGCAGTGGCCAAACTATTGTCATCGGCAAACATTGGTTTCCCATGCCCACGCCCATTACTAAAATATATTAAATACAAATAGTACGTGATGACCACACAAAAAATACAAATCAAACAAATCGCTAATTCTTATCTCTTGCGTCGTTTTGTCTTCTTCTTTATTGCACTCTGCTGCGCAGCAACTGCTGAAGATTGTGGTAGAGAGAGAATCGGAGTAGCACTCAACGATAATAAGTCGCCTACACGTATATTACCGCTCTCAACACCGCTCTCTTCAGCCGAAGAAGTTGAAGATGAGGTTGCCGCTTCAATCGCAGCTATGAGATTTATTTTATGTTCCAATTTCTTAGTTTTCATCTTATTGGGTATTGAACTTGTGTTGCTGGGCAAAGTATACACAACATTATCGTCGGAAGTGGTAGCTGGCATAGGCCCTTCACTATCGGTAGTTGTAGAATATGCAAATAAAGAAGTAGAAGCAGTAGGCTGCTTTATACCAATAATATCATCGAGTAACTGTGTCGTGCGTGTAGTTGGTATGTGTGAGGATGACATGGCGAAGTGATCGCTTGCCACTAATGTGTCCACATAGTTCTCTAGATGTGAATCAGACATATTGATTAATGGACGTAATTCTTCATCCTCATCGGCAGCGCTACTGTTGTTGTGCTGCTCTTTTTGCTTTTGTAATTCTGTTTGCTGTTTTTTACGTCTTTGCTTTTTACTCATCTTTTTCTCTTCAAGCACAATAATCTCTTCCGATGCAGAAGAATTCGGAGAACTTGTCAGATTATCGTTAGTTTTAATTGCTGTGCTCTTCAAATTTCTTTCTTGAGAGCATTGATCTAAACTTATATATTGCTCATCATTTTTAGTTAGAGGTTTATATTCAGCATTTGAGAATTCCCCATGTATCGAGTCTGACCTTGTCACGGAGACTGTGGGGGTATGTGTTTTTTCGGTCGACGATTTTCCATTTTCGTTTTCATAATGCAAAGAACCACATAATGCAAATATTAAATTTTGTTCGGTGAAACCACGTGGCGGTGGCGTGATTTTACGTGTTAACGCTGGATTCTCCTGAAGTGGAGATTCAAAACTAATAAGACTGACTTGTTCAGCAAGAGAGGGTTTTAATTCATTTGTATCATTAAGAGTCTTTTGTTTGGTTATAGCGCCTGAAATGATTTCTAAAGGTTCTAGCGCAGGTAAAGGGGATAATGATTCCAATGGCTTCAATATAGGAAAATCCTTAAAGTCGACTGACGAAGGTTTTTTTCTCTTTCTACTTTCTTTTGGTGGCGCTTCTGTAAAGTTGTCCGATGACTTTACAGGTGTTGGTAAATCTAACAGAAGTTTTCCTAAATTATCTGTAACTGCTGTTTCGAAATCATTAAAAATTGATTTGCATACTTTTTTATTTTTATTTGATTTGCCGAGACTGGGAAAGCTATCTTCAACATTAGTGACTGCACTGCTAAAACTCGATAAATTTTTGCTTATTAAATCAGCTCCACTTAAGGTCTTCCAGGGGGAAGTTATGGGTGGAGGAGTAGAAATATCCTTTATTTTCATTGTATTTGATGCTAATTGTTGCTTTTTCGGAGACTGGGGCTTAGCATTTAATGTCTTCTCTTTAACTGGAGACATTTTGAGTGAATTTACACAAGCATCTGTGACATCAATAGACTGTGCACTTTGTACTTCTGCACTTTCAGTTACAGTTTTACTTAGTTTCAGTGAGTTATTTTGTGTTAGTTTAGGTTGCTCAGTAATTATTTTTGGATCTTCTTTTTTTGCACTTACTTTTATGTCTTTCGATTTGTTTTTGGGAGAAGAAGGAGGTGTAACCTTAACTTTTCCTACATTTGTTGGTTTTTTCGCTTGTGACTGTGTAGTATCTGTTTTATCAACAGACTTTTTCACTATACTTTCATTATCAGAAAAAAGTTTACTTTCATAAGATATAGCTACCTTACTTGTAGTCACAATATCTTCCTCTGTAGAACTTTCAGTTTTTTTATTAGCCGATTTATTTGCAGTATCTTTAAGTTCTTTCTTTATGGCTCCTTTAGATTCTTTTGATGTATCTGAAAGAATTAAAGTAATTGGTTCTTTTTTGTCACAAAGTGTTGTAACTTCTTTATCTTCCTTTGATATTTCCTTATTTGCATTGTCTTTTATGGCAGATGGAGAAAGATCATCTATAACGCTTTCATCTATGATATCATCTTCATCATCATCAGTATCATCATTATCACTTAGCGCTGCTAATTCGCGCATTCTTATTGCAATGGCTAGTTCGGCTTCATCTATCGGTATTAATGAAGATTCATCGGAAGATTCTTCCGTATCATCTACAAAATGATGTTTTTTCCAAATTGGAGTAGGTAAGACCAATGAATCATCAAGTTCATTATCTGATACATCATTGCAGTCGGAATATCTATCGAATGGAGGCTTCATGTCTGAAGCGCTCATCACCCTCCTGATAATTGGCTGAGTAGTTACCAAAATTTTAGTTTTTGAATTTGATGCGGATTCATTTGACTTTTGTTTATTTTGCCAACTCGTTTTATTAGGTTCTATAAGTGTAGGTTTTGTCATTTTCACTTTATCACTAACAACAGTTTTTACTACGTTCAACTGCTTATTCAATTTGTTAACGTTTATAATTTCTTTAGCAGGTACTTCTTTTTTTGTATTCTTCAAATCTATCAAACTATCTGCTAATCTTTTCTTATTTAATTGTTCGGTCTTGACTTGTGATTCCTTGGATTCTGCTTTTGCTTCTGCTTCTTCTTCATGTGGTGGTGTTGATTTTGTTGATTTTGTGCTTAATTTGGTGTCTTTCGAGTTCTCACAGGGATAGGCTTTCGGAGTTGTGGATTTAGTTTTTATTTCAGCTTTAGAAATTTCTACATTCCCAGCTGCGGCAGTTTTTATATTTGCGCTTAATATTGCATTATCGGCAGTTTGTTTTGTTTTATCTTCATCCATCGGCATATCATCAACATTGTGTTCTTCAGATTCAATTTTACCTGAAGTACATTTTATCTCCTCCTTTACGTCCTTTGATTTTAATTTAGAACTGTGTAATTCCTCACTGCTTATTGGTTTCATTTCCGCGTTTGTGGTACTAATTTCTACTTTTTTACTCTCAACGGCTTTATTTTCCTTGTTCTCCAGAAGTTGTATTTCGCTCTCGGAAGCAGGTTTTTTATCACCTTTTGAGGTGTCAACTTTATCATTTTTTCGAGGCAGTTTTGTTATAACACAAATATTTTCATTTTTACTCTTAGGTACTGACTCTATGCATTTCTTCGTAGTTTCTTTAAGCTCTGGAGGTTTAAAGGTTTTTGTAGCTACTGGATCTTTTTGACAGGATAAATTGGTTTTCAATATTGGTACAGAACCAGTGCACTTGAGATTAACACTCTTTTTCTCAATTTTTACTATTTTCATTTCTTTTTTGTCTAGTTCTATTTTCTTTTGCAAGTTCTCATCAATTTTTTTCTTCTCTTCTACTTCTCTATTATCTGAAACACATAATTTTTTATTCTCCAATTTTACGGGAACTGTTTTCATATTTTCTACATTTTCTTGTTTATCTTCTTCCTGCTTCAAATTTGTTTTCTTATTCACACTTGATAATTCAATACATTTAGTTTGTGCAGCTAATTCTTTTTCTTGTTCCCGTCTCTGCATTTTTGATTTAGCATCCAATTTTTGTTTCTCTTTTTTACTTAGTTCTGCATCTACTTCTTTAGCTATTACAGGTACAATCAACTTATTGCCTATCACCTCTGGCGGTTTGCACAGTTCCAAATTTTTGCGTGCCGCTTCTTCGTCACGCTTTCTGGTATTTTCATCACAAAATATTGCAACAACCGGACGAAAGAGCGACTCATCACAGTTTTCATGTATCACACACTCTTCAGCTGCTAACTGAGACACAACCTCATCTAACATGTCAGTTTTCACTTCAGTTGTCATGCCTGAAGTTATAGTTGTAACGGTACCTAAAGGATTTACAATTTTCTCTATTGAAGGTTTCTTAAGTGAGTCCAATGACTCGTAACTAGAACTTGTTTCATACGAATATATATTCGGTAACATGCTCGCTAAAACTGTTGCTGCTGCCGAGGAGGGCCTGTTCAGGTCTAAACCATGATCCTCATCGAAGTGTTCGTGTTCCGCAACTGCATCATAAAATGGTGCATTGTCACAGGAAGCCGCGTCAGAGCTATTTCGACCTTCAATATAAAAAGACAGAAAAAGAAATAGAGAAAAACAAAAAACAAATGTGAGATAAGAGCATTTCAATAAAGCCAAAGGCATGAACAAATTAATTTTGAATTTTTTATAACTATTTTGTGATTAATTTCATTCAAAGCTAAAATTATTATTAATTTGTGAATTAATTAATTCATTGTAATCTCAACTAATTTAAATCGAAAAAATAGTGCAAACTCTAAATGAAACACGTATTATTATATTAACAAAAGGAAAAAAATCAAAAATAAATATGTTGAAACGCAACGTAAGAAACGCAACGCAACGCAACGCAAGAAACGCAACGCAAAGAAAAAAAACTCAAGTTTCATTTGTACTCGAGAGTGTGTATGTAGTAGTATGTGTGTGATTGCAGACGGAAACTAAGATATTTCTTAAGCACCGATTAGACATGCCAAAATGTTGGAAAATGAATAGATTTAAAAAAAAAAAAAAAAAAAAAATTAAATTTACTCAATAATTAACAAAAAGCGTACGCAAACCGAAAATTAATAATTACGCAAAAATTTACAAAACTGGCACCATTTTTATTTGCAAATATACGATACGAAACGATGGTTGAGTATAAATGTATGTGTGTGTGTTAAGTACAGCTGCATTCAAGCAATATTCAATTATATTCAAATATATGCAATATTTAACAATTTTTAAAAAATCTTGACAATTTTCCAAATTTTAATTAATATAATTTTATAATATTGAAAATGTTAAACTAACTTTAACAAAAAAAAAACAAAAAAAAGAAACCAGCTGCCTTTGGCTTATGCAAAATAAATTTTCTCAATTTGTTTTTGCTCTCTGTTCTGTATCTGTCTTTTTATGCTTATTCTCTTTCTCTCTCTCTCTCGCTACTTTCATAATTTCAAGAATTTCAATAAACTCGATCAAAAATAAACATTTTATTTATCGATATATGTATATTAAAATAGTAGAGAACTTAAAGGACAGTACGATTTTGAATGTAGGGGAAAATCAAGCAACAAGTAAAAGGAAGTTAGCAATTCAAAATTAGATCTTAAAAAAAAATAACGAAAAAAAAGAGAAAAAGCTCCAAAACTCAGAGTACGTAGATACATAAGTGTTCTTTCCAAATGGCATTAAACTCAACAAACCACAACTAGCAAATCAGCAATCATATATATTAGCACGTGAGGAGTGAATAGTTAGATCTGTATGATTAGTTGGTGGCTAATGGATAATGTGGTATATAGATTGTAATAGGAACGATATATAATATATATATAGTTTAATATTATTATAAGCAGTATATGAGAAGCAAAGCTTATTTTTAGTGAGGATTTATCATAACTAGTTAATATAAATTATATGAAAGCATAAGAATTTTTTTAATTGCATTTATTTTATTTTTAGATTTCTCGTATTTCTCATACTTTAATAATGAATACTTATGACCTTTAAACTATCGTATATTTTTTAAAAACTTTTATAAACATTCAACAATTCCAAAAATAAATATATTAACAAAAAACAAATAAGCAATAATTTTTTCTTATATGACATGCATTATTACTATTTAAAATATTATTATTATTTTTAATATTACACAAGCCAATTGATTAAATTATTGAATATTGCTTAAATCCCTAAAAATTTGATATATCCACAATTATTTCCAGAAAAATATTATTGAAAATATGTGCTTTAAAACCGAAAGAATTATTTTAAATGAAATTGTTAGTAGTTAGTTTGTATTTGAATTGAGGTAACTAGCATTGATAACTATCATCTTTCTTACAGAGAAGTAACAAACAAAATTGTTCTATATAAACTAATAAAAAATATTTATTTTCTAAATCTTCATAAAAATCAATTAAGAGAATTTAAATCTGTAGCTTGCTTGCTATTAATATTCCTAGCATTAGCTTACACCTACCTAGCTTTTTCTGACAGAAAGTAAATCAAGAAAGAACTAATTCACACGAACAAAATATTTACAATTTCATCTATGAGATAATTATTTTATCTATGAGTTGACAAATTAATTAACAGATTTGTTATTTGAAAGCTTACAAATAAGACATTTGAAAAATAGTAAAGTACTTCGTTTGACAATAATTCTATCTATTAGATAAAAAAATCCATTAAGAGATTAAAAGCTAAAGGTGAGGCAGTAACTATCTGGTAGATAGATAAAAATTATTGTAAAAAAATAAAATTTAATTTACTAGAAAAATATTTCACCTAAAAATAATTTTTACCATATGGTTACAAACCTATTAAGAAATTAAAAGCTGAAGCATAAGTATTGTTAATAGCTTTTCTCATTTTGAGTCATTTCATTTCTCAGATATCAATCCTAGGAAATCAAACTTTTGGAATAGTGAAACTATTCTATATTGAATATAGAATAGAATATATTTTATATCTAAAATAAATAGGATTTTTATAACAAGACAAAAAATATATTTCAAACTTTTTACGGAATGTTGTACTTTATACAAAATTCTCTAAATATTGGACAAAAATTATTGAAACTTTTATCTAAAAAATTAGATAAATTTTTGATAATTTTTTTTTATACGAACAAGTAAGGTATTTTATCCTAACAATTTTGCACTATTTTTTTAGTTAACAAATCATTGCGAATGTTTAAAAATTTTCTAATAAATATAGTTTTAAAAGAAATAAAACAAATAACGTACAAAACAAAACATTTTTACAAAATCAATTAATTTTACATATCAAAAGTTGCAAGAAAAAACGAATGAAAGAAATCACAAAGCACAAACAAAACTTGACACAGTTGCAAAAATAATTAGTTTTTTCTATAAAATCTACCACTCACCAGTATCCTTATGCGAAGAAACTGAAGGTGATTCTCGCATAGCATCCGCCAGATCTTCCTTTAAACGTGAATCACCGCCATGCGTGAATTCAGAGTCCAAATGCTCGTGACGAAAACGATCCATTAATTTTGGGCTTTGCTCTATGCTACCTAAAATTGTTCAAAAATTAAAAAAAAAATTCTTAATTTCCCATCATACGATGTGGTTTGTTAATTATCGACTCACTGTATGAACCTGATTCAATAAGCACTGGCACCGCTGAACGTCCTGTGGCGGTTAATGGCATATTTAAAGGGCTCGAACGTTCGCGAGTAGTTGCAGTTGCAGAAGTGTTGCTAGTAGCAGTTTTACAAATACCAATTTCAACTGCTTCAGCATCGACGTGGCTTAAGTTAGACCTGTAAGTATATACATTTTAATAAGCAAATAAAAATATTCGCTTTTATAAATAATTTCGCTTGTTAATTACCCGCTTGGAGTGTTATATGTTTTAAATACGAATTGTGGACCCATCCACAAACGTCTATGGGGTCCAGCATGTGTAATAATTTCAACTTGAGAGAGCCAACTTTCAGTTTGATCATCTCCATCATCAAATTGTCTTGTACTATCGGTAAGCATGCAAGAATTACGGTCTTTTATTAACCAATTATCTACAGATAGCGGTGGCGTTATTTCATGAGATCCTTCCTTACGTCTGCCTAGATTCCATTGAGCTTTAGCTTCAACTTCAAGTTCGATAGGCGTATCATCACAAATCTTCTCTTTGGCAACATCTATAAAAATTAATAATAAAATAAACTTTTTCCATATTGTTGCATTTTAAATATTTTTTCGTTCACTCACTTGAGGCAAGTTTGGTGTCCAAATCATATTGTATGAGTGCACCATGTCCAGCCATAATAAAAAGCGAATCAACAGCTTTACGTTGTATACGATGGGGTGCCTCCCGGGTTGCATTTGGCGGCTCTAACAGCCAAGAACGTGATTTTGCGAAAATAGCACAAACACTTAACGGTTTGCCGTTGTCATCAGAAAGTGAGGATAATCGCTGTCTCTGCGATGCACCCGTACCAGCACCACTTCCAGACTTACCACTTATACCCAATGCTGCAGAGCCCGGCGGAGAGCCAAGTGCAAACGGCTGACGTAATTGTGTCAATGGTAATACTACAACAGGGCGTGAAAACGGTGGTAATGTTGGATTATGATACGGTTGTAACGATTGCACGAACGTTGTACTTTCTGAATGAGAAATTGGCGAACTGGAACGACCTTCACCAGATAGACCAGCTGAACGATGAAAACGTGATAGTTTATTTACCACATGAAGCGAAGTGTGTGTGCGTACTCCAATCGCTCCACCATATGGAGTAATTGGAAATACATGTGTTGTGCCACGTAGTGTGGATACTGCTACCCAACGTGAATCTAATGAAAACGATACATTTTGCACTTTAGCACTAGTATCACCGCGATGCAAAACATAAAGGTGATGTACTGCTGCTAAACTCGAACCGACCGGATGCGGTTGTATACGGAAAACATGAAAGTCATGACCACGACGATCAGCAGTCAACAACAGCATGCCTGAATTATCAAATTCCATTGCAACCAAAGCTTCTGAGTGAGCAACAAAATGTGCTACTATGGGATCGCTACCCGCTTGTCCAGACATAGGTGTGCCCGAAACGGGACTGTAGTCTCGTAGTGGATGCTATCCAATCAAAATTCGTTCAATTCAAATAAGTTATAAGTAAGTTAAAATAAAACAATATATACTTACTTTTATATCCATTATAGTGATAACTCCGGCTTGTTTACCATCAAGGCCACTGCTTGAATCAAAACTATTATTTTTTGAGGTGCTGCCACTGGTAGCAGTACCTGTGAATCCTGCTGCTACTTGTTCACCCAATTCACGTAGACCTTTGCCAAAGGACTTAGCAGCATTTAAAACAGTTGCTGTGTAACTAGCAACTCCCTCTCCATCACAACCACCACCACTACGTTTTGAATGCAAAAGCTTTTGTTCGGCATACGCCAACCAGCGTGGTCCAAGCGCAACTGGATTAGGATTTATGCTATAATGAGAAAATATTGTTTCATTATACAATCACAACTTGGTTAATAAGATTTAGATTTTAATTTAGAAAGAGAGCTAATCATGACCAAAGGCACATCAAATATGCAACGCATGAGCAATAAGGAACATTTAGGTTACATTTTTGATTAAAAACAAAGTTTGTAAAGACATAATATATTATGCTTACCCTGGACTTGGATAACACGTCGTTATTGATAGGCGATCATCTAAAGTACGTGCATCAAACACAGCAATGCGCTCGTGAAGGGTTATAATAATGGCGGAGCGATTGGCGAGTATATCAAGCACAGGATTCTTGAATTTGATCGTCTTTTCTTGTGTACCAGTCTTAAGTGATATAAAATTTACAGCACAGAATTGTGGTTGCGAACTAGAACTGCTGCCTTCCACCAATGCGATAAGTGGTCGCTTATCAGCAAACGAATCAAAATATTCATCAGCACGACCATGCTCTTCAATAGCTACCGTTGGAGAAGGAGTTGGCAGCACACGTAAAGCAGATACTATACCATGACGCCAGGAAAGCACCTCAACTGCTTCACCATTTGCTGGTATAGCCCATACCTGTACGCCTAATCCATAACCAAGTATTAATAGCAATGGTGGAGCAACATTACCTTCCAGTTCCCAATCTTCACCAAAACGTGGATCACTTATATCCGCTGCGTATTCAAATCGCGCCCAAGTGATGGTATCCTTTGACTCTGTATGTGGTTGATGTGCCAATGTAACATCATTGATAAAGCCAATTGCTGAATCTAATATCGAACGATCACTAACCACCTGTGGCGGAACTGTAGCTGGCACTGCTAAACCACGGGCACCTGATGAACGTCTTGGTGAATCCGCAGACATTTTTCGCGAATTTTTCAAGACTCCCCGTCGGAGTCGGAGCTTCTAAGCTTAGAACTCCAAGAGAGTGAAAAAATGACGAAATAATGAATCTTATATAGTTGGAGCGACTGAAGAACGATGAGAGTGAGATTTGCAGATTTGAAGATTTTAAGATTTTAAGATTTTAAGCAACCGAAGGAATGAGGCTTTGAGAGCTTTAAGAGCTTTAAGATAAGTTTTGCTTTATATTCCGTGATATCGTTTGAGAGTGAAAATTTTATTTTGTGCAAATGTGTTTAAAAGAATATTTGTATTTGTTGTTTTTCTTTCTTTTTTTATTGTGCTTTGTATATAACACGGCTGTAGTGTTGTGTGGAGACAAGCTGTCTGGATTTAAATGCGCCCCTTGCCTGTTGCACGATAGCTCCCTCGTTCACGATTGGTTTCTGTCTGCAATAAAAGATAAAAAATAATGTATTTTTTTTTTTTGTAAAGTTACATTTTCGAGTGCATTTAAGCTCATAAAATGATATTTTATGTTGGCATTCCTTTTTATTATTTCCTTTTTTTTTGAACGAATTCGTTTTATACTAAATTTACTTTCATAAAAATGTATCTTAAAACGAGCAGTTTTAGATTTTAAATCCTGAGGTCAATTATTGCTTAGTCTGATGAAGTGATAAACAATAATTCAGTCAAGGCGTAAAGAGGGGTTTTAAAAATACCTGAAGAAAGAGTAAAAGTGCTTAAGTGCACTGGCTCAAATAGCTTCAACATAAATTAAACAAAAGTATGGACAGTCAACTTTTTTCAGTCTGTGACGAGTCACAATGAGTGTTGATTTAACCAATAATTTAATAAATAATTAAACCAATAATTTTTCTATTTTATTTCGGATTTATTCTGTAAGCAAAATTAATTTGTATTATGTAGTCAAAAGGATTTAACGTAGCACTTATTGCGACCAATCCAAAAACTTACTAAGTTAATATAATTTATTTCATAATATTATAAAATCGCACTTCCTCGACACATTTGGATATCATGAATCACTGGTCTCAACACAAGAACTTAATGTATATTTTTAGAGATTAGAGTAAAATATAAAAATAAAAATAAGAAAAAATTTTGTGGTTTTGTTTTTCTTAGTTTAAATACCTTTTACCATGACACGTTAGTCTATGTAAAGTTTTAGACGCATAAACTTAAATAGTACTTTACTATTTATAAGCGAACGTTACCCTTCCAAGAACCTAGAACATATATGGTTATATGAACTCCGGCGTTTTCTTAACAATTTATAAACATTTTAACAAACCTAGCAATCAGTTTCCTCACAGTGAATGTAGATCGGATATCATAGTGAAATACTTCTATATGTACAGTTTCACTACTTTAAATAGTTGTAGAAGAAGAAACAAAAAAAATGGCAAATAATTAGTTGCTGAATTTATTCTCTTCAATGGAAAACCAACATTTGTAGATTTGGTAAAGATTAACAAATTGATGTCCGCATATGTATATTATATTTTACCTGTAACAGTTTTCAGGTAGTTTGCAAAAATACCTGAGCGGAAAAATACATTTAACGAAATTTGTTATCATCCATGTAGTCACCAACTGTTTTTTCAGACAGTTTTCCATATTTTCAGTTTATTGTCTAAACTGCATTCATAATAGATAGGATTTCAACAATATATTACAACTCGCAAAGCATGCAAAACAGTTCAGTAAGTTTACACAGCGAGTTTTTGAAATACTTTACTTCGGTAGATAATTTTTTAAACAGATATAGGATACTAAAGAGAACATGCTACTCACAAAAAAAAAGAAATTTTGATAATATATATGAAATACGTAGGTTGGATACATTTTTAGTATTAATAGAGACATAAGGTGTTACAGAAAACTTGAATTTTCAGTTGTTATTACAGAACCATAAAAATCTTACATAGATAAAAATGATCCATAGAAATGAAATGATCCATTACCTCAAGAAAGACAACAAAGAAACATAAAATATTCTTTAAAAATAGATTAGAGTCAGAATAATATTTTTTTATCTTCAGAACACAGTTTGTTTGGAACATAGATTCGCAAGGTAATTATAAGGTAGATGAAGCAGAAGAAGATCGAAATATCCTGATTTAGCTAGAAAGCAGTTTTGGGAAGCACGTTCGCTGTCTTACAACCAGCCAGTTGTATTGACGAGTTCAATTATTTGGCTGATTTCTAGATTGGAACTATTGTGGAGTGAGTTGAAGAATAGCCCCCCCTTATGCTTAAGCCTAGAACTGAGTAAATTGTAAGTTGTTGTTCATCTGAACAGAACTATAGTTCATCAAGAACTGTTAATCTTTAGAAAATAATATTGTGGTAATATATAATGGATTTTAACGTGAATTTCAGTACGAAAGGACATTGACAGAACAACAAGATACATTGTAAAACCGATTTTAGCTATAATTTTTGCTACATAATTTATTGTTGTGCGCGGGTCTTTTACAATAAAATGGAATATAACACATGTATATATATTATACACGTACATATATATAATATAAATATTTTTATACGTATTACAAATTATAAATAATAAAAAAACATTTTATAAATTCTAAATATTAAAGATTTCTGTAAAATAAAAACTAGATTAGCATACTGAAAGCATAAAAATATAGGGAAATTGTATTTGTCAGATTGTATTTGAAATTGTATTTGTCAGAATATAGGCCGATAAATTCACGAGTAGTAGTAGAACTGACGACTGAGCTGACATGTGGTATTAGAAAACAGTTTTGAATGCGTCAATATTTATTTTTGTATGCAAGTGTTTTATTTTTTTATCGAACTTACTTGGAATATGCACTTCATGAATGAAATGTTTGCACTTAGATATATTATCTAAATATTGTTTTATTGAAAACTTAACAATAATAACAACTAACACTTCACTTGATTTCCGCAAGAACTGAATATTTTAATATAAAATAATACTTCCAACATATTGAGATAATTTCTTCAATGGGTTAAATGTACTTCATAATAGTTAATATTTTTTAATTATTTTAAACTTTTACTTTTCACACTTTTTTGCAATTTACATAAACAACAAAACAATTACAGACGTGAAATCAGTCGTCAGATACTTTTGCCTTAGCCACGTACTATTTCGTCAGATACTTTAAACAAACTGATACGCAGTTTTCAACAATTTGTTCGTTTTGTTTTTTTTTTTGCGCTACTTTGAAATACGCACCCGCCAAAATTCGGACAACAACAAGTAAACACTAGCAGCAACAACAAATAAACAACAAAACAAAATGCTAAACAACGAAAATGACACAATGCATAACAGTTAAGAAAGCGAACTAAAGCAGACGCCAGCAAATTTGGTAAACATGTTTTTCCCAAATAGTCAAAAATTTAACTATGAAAAAGGTTATCTTTACGCATAGATAGGCATAGATTATAGCACTCTACAACCGGCAGTTAACACTATAAAGCGAACAGAGATATATGTCGCTTTACACACAAATTATGAGATACATTTGAAGGGGAACTAGAAATCGAGCATTTGACACAGCTACCTGGTCTAGAAAGTGTTTGAAAATCATATGCTGTTCGATCATTTACTATTACACATATTTATATAAAATACAACGATAATTAAACAAAAATACAGCAGATCAACTGTTCGAGCACTTCGTATATTTTCGAACAGTCAAAGTTTTATATCCAAATGTTCGAATTCGAGTCATTTTTACACCCGGTTTACACCTTCCATTCTACCGTTGTGAAAAGTTATTTAGAGTGAGTGCTTTCTTTATAAACCGGAAGCAATATTTATTATCGTTAACCAAGTCCAGATCGGTTGCTTTCGATATGAGTTCTTTAACATCGGCAGATGAGCCCACTTATAGCCCATATGCAATTTTTTTCGTTTTTTAAAGTAAGAAATGAACTATCAATTTTAATAATTGAAAAAACAAAACCATATATACATATATAAGAAATATTTATATATGAATAGTAGTTCCTAAATATCTTACAGTTATATATATTCATTAATCTAACTTTCTTAATATAATAGCAATTTTTATATATGTAAATATATAGTACCATATAAGATTTTGATACCGTCATTAAAATTTTTATATGATAATAAAAATGATGTCAAGATACGAAATGATGAACGAAACGATTTTATAGTTAAGATCAGCTTTTATAGGATATAATAGATTTATAAGAAAACATTAACAAATGTTGATTAAGAATTCTTCAGGCATTAATAAGATTAAAATACAAATTTTTACTAAATTATTATTACCAAAAAAGTATAAAATTTTAAAAGATTTTCCAAATATGATATATATGATATATTGTATCATGCGTTATTTTTCTGTAAGCAAATAGTGTCAGATAAAAGAAATTTGAATTTCTAGTAAAAAAAATATCGCATGCTATAAAAATGTTTGCTATTGTGATGATGTTAAAAATATCATGAGATTTTGTATTCATATGCTTGTATTTATTTATTGTTATTATTTTTGTACTTATTTTTTGATAAGAAGTAACACAAAAATTGACTCTACATAATCTATGCTAGGGTGTTAATGAAATAATGTAGAATGTAGAATGTCATATGTGAATGATCTGTGTTATCATTGAAGTGCAAATGAAAATAGACAAGACAAGGTGAATTGCAATTGATGTACATTGCCTTAAAATGAGTAAGCTTTAGGGGGATCAAAACCTCTAACTGGTAGATAAGCTAAATTTATAATAATAGAGCATAAATTTCGGTGCATTTTATTAGAAAATATACTTAGTGTATTAATTGTATACGAATAAATGCAGGCAACCAGTAGGCTGATAGTTTGATTGGTGGGTGATACGGATGTCGCATCAAACCCAGGAAAGTATATGGGAAAGTTGGGTTGATTGGGTTTAAGAGAGAAGTAAGGTAATTGGTTTGAGATGATTGCGGTGGGCGACACAGATATTGCATTAAAACCGTACTAAGGTTAAAGACATTTGCGACCATGATGGCATAGAACCACATATTGATTGGATTTAGATTTGTATTTAAAGTGGAATCAATAAAACTATAGAAAACATTATAATGAACAACGGGTTATTTTTTCAAAATTTATAATATTTCAAAAATAGCGGTAGATATGTATAATTTCATTCTAATAATTCACGAACTGAAAGCTAATAACCACTTAAAATAATAAAAGCACTAACAGCATTAGACCCAGTATAGTAATATGAATATATTATTAGACCCAATATAGTAACTGAGTTCTAAAATATATATTTTACAGAGTGCGTGAAGTAATAACAACTCTACATGCTTATAAATGGATAAAGAAAGGTCCAGATAATGACATGGTAGAGGTTCAGGTATCTCTTGAACATCGGTGAGTTGTGCTGGGGCAGATCTTGCTTATACCTATGACGTACTTTAGTTCAGTGTCTTCTGAGAACTTATATCAAAAATGTC